CTTCTTGTGCCCCCCTGCTTGGACCTAACCATGGTCTGCAGTATGTATTAAATAAATAAAATAAATAAATGCCTCCTAAACTGCCTCTTCAGTGGTTGCATGCATCTGTGGCAGCCAAAAATGAAAGGGGTGCCTTCAGAAGCTGCTGTGCTTTCAATATATGATTGAGATGACATGACTACTTATGATGAGTACTGCATTGTCTTCACTTTACTATTTATGTGACCTACTGGCATTTCACTCTTCTGTTGCATACCTAATTTTAGTGTCTTTTGTAACTTACACAATTTAACATTAAACTATGCAATGTATTTTCTCTGTCTGTATGATGGTGTAAGAATAAGTTGGGTGAAGACACTGTGCTTAGTGGCACATCCAGATTCTGTTCACTGCCTGGACTGTTTCCGCTTGATGCTACAGATGACGCTCACGGAGGGTGGGTCGTAGAGTTACTGTATATGCTACCTAAAGGTAGCATATACGGTAACTCTAGTGGGACAAGGCGCTCACTGGGGAGTGACTCTGATTCACGTGTAGAAGGTTATTGCTGCGGAGCCGCGCTTGTTTATCAGGCTCAACATACACATGTACTTGGACGCCAATAAATAATTAACTGTGACTCTGCTGCAATGAAATTGGTCTTTTAGTTTTATATGCAGCTTATTTGCTATCAGTGTTCTCGTCATATAAATGCTCCGACAGCAGCAAGTGTTGGATTGGAGAGCGATTGCGTTTTGACGCGATAGCAGTAAAAGCGTCTTTCCCTGAAACTCTGCTGTTGTCGGCATCTTTGGTTCAGAACAAGAAGTAGCATTGTACGTGAGAGAAAATTTGAGGTGTTTGCTATGAGGATATCAGCCTTAGGGCAAAAGCACGCTAGCTATTTAGAAAGCGAAAATATGATTGCGTTTGTGCGTGCATGTGCCTGTGTACACATACACCTCTTGCGTTACAGCAGGACGCGAACCGCGTTTGGACGGTATGCCAATGAGCGTCCCTTGAAGGCCATGGCCTAGCTCTGCCAGTCCAACGGCCAGTGATAACAGCACAGATGAGGCAGCTAAAAAAAATGGCATGTGAATGTGACACAAAAAATTATTTTCTTGGCGCCATAAGGAACTGACAGTAGCGCGTAGGCCCGTATACTATCAGTGTCGTGTTGAGAAACAACCTTCTCTTCAAGTGGAGGAGGCCCGTCACTGCTGAAGTCGAAGTGCTGCCTTTTGCATGCGTGCCTGTTCATTCATAGTTGTCATGCTGTGTAGTCGCTGTCTCCACGTGCAATAAGTTTGGCGTACATTCAGAGGTCTTGTCACGCACTTCAGATGCAGTTAAACCTTTTGGCCCCCATCGCTTTCAAGAAGATACTTTTGCGCGTGAATTTCAGAATGAGCGCTGCGCGAATAGAGAGAATAAAACATTTATTTGTGGCCGAGGAAGAAACGTCGGTGAGTGGGATCCGTAGTCCGGGATCCCATTGGCACGTGCCGCTGTCCTCGCTTGTTTCACGAGGGCCTCTTCGGTCTTCGGATTCGAGCTGGACAGAGCTGCCTCCCACCCTACAGTGTTTTACTGTGCTCTGGGTTGTAGAGGTGGATTGTGTGGGCATTCCCATACCATGTGGTACAGGGTGGCTGTTTTAGTGACGCAGAACCTGCACTGTGGTGCATATGTGACGGGATCTATCTTGGGCAGTATGTATGGATTGCGGTAAGACAAGGTCTGCAGGCGACGCCACGCTACCTGAGATTCTTTACTGAGCTTTTGCCCCGGAGGCGGAAGTTTCCGTCTTTCGAGTCTGATGTTCTAGAATATCTGTCCATGTTAAGAGCGGGTCCATACGCATAGCCGAGGGTGGGTGCGGCATGCCGGTGCCAGAGGTCTGGAAAAGTAATTCTCGGGCCGAGGCATGGGCGAGCTCATTGCCTCCAACTCCGCAGTGGCCGGGTATCCATTTCAGCTGTTTCCATTCGCCCTCTGACCGTGAGGACGAGAGTGTGTAAGAAGTCGATGCGCAATGGGGCCAATGTAGCCTTTACAAAAATTTCGGTAGGCTGCTTTTGAATCTGTTAGAACGAAGGTGGACCTTGGGTTTCGTAGGGCGAGGGCGAATCCTGCTTCTTCCATACTAGTTGTGTCTGTGTATTGGGCTGATATGCAATCAACCTGCTTTCTACAATGAAATGCGCTTGCTGTATATTTGCTGTTCACTGATCCAGCTGTATCGACAAAGAAGGCGCCCTCAGTATCTGAGTAGTTGTCGTGAACTTTTGCCCGTGCCCGACGTCGATGTTTGTGGAACTGAGGATGCATGTTGTTGCGTGGTAGTAGTTTGATGATGAAGTCCTGCCTCCATTCATGTGAGATACGTCGTTTTTCTCTTCTCTGAATGGGGCTTCGACGCCGAGTTCTGATAGTGTTTCCCCGCAGGGGCATCTGCGCAAGTAGGCGTTTGGTGTGTAGCGACACCACGAACCCCGGCTAACGGGGGGGGGGGGGGTCTCGACCTCCTCCTACACCTAGCCGTGCGTGGCTGAGCCGTGTCTAGGGAAAAGGGAATCCTGGGGGTTGAGCCAACGCCGGGTGATTGGACCTTTAAGGCCCCCCAGCAGAGGCAACGCAACCCTTTGGCCCCGGCTTCACGTAGATGTCACTTTTGGGCTGACCCACCCAAGGGAAATCGGCAGTCGCCTTTTCCTATCTCTCTCTCCCCTCGCCTCCGTCTTTACCTCTCACTTTTGATCTGTCCTGGCACCTTCTGTCTTCCGTCTACTTGCAATTTTTCCTGGCGGTGAGGGTAAACCCTGTGTAGGTGCCCAACCTTGGGTAACTATATTTGGTTACAGCGGCGATGTGTGGCTGGCGCCTTAAAGTGTTCTACCTTGTAGCGTCCCCTTATTGGGCTCGGTGGTGGGTGGTCACCATTGCCGCCGAACTTCAAATGCTTTGCATGGCGAAACTCTCCCCCTCTCTGAATAATCGGTCCCTGAAAAGGAACTGCACCAATGAAAGCTCCAAACGCACCCGAACTGATTGTGACCACTTTCCACACTTTTTGGTCATACACTCTCTTACAGACAACGAGTTTGTTGCAGCATTGTCAGTCTTCCTGATAGCCAGAACTCTTGAAAACCTAATAGGTAAAAAATATGATGCAAATAAGCTGTCATCTGGTGATGTTCTTGTTGAAGTGACCCAAAAAGTCCACTCAAACACTTTCCTGAAACAAAAGCAGTTTGCACACATGAACGTGTCTGTCACCCCCCACCGCAGTCTTAAAACGATACAAGGTGTGATTTCAGGACGCGATCTCATGCGAGAAACGAAAAATAACCTCCTTGAGGGCTTCCGAGAGCAGGGCGTTATCACCATACGTCTAATCACAACCAGACGGAAACGTGAAGAAGTAGTAACCCCACATATAGTATTAACCTTTAATCGCTCCATTCCGCCCGAATCTGTGAAAGTGGCGTTCCTTCATTGTAAAGTCCTTCCCTATATACCTAACCCCAGAAGGTGCTTCAGGTGCCAGAAATACGGACATGGATCAAACCCCTGCCGCGGAAAACTACGATGTGCGAAATGTGGTGACCATGTTTGGCGTACGGACGGATAGACGGACGGTCTATCCGTCCGTCTATCCGTTTGTCTATCCGTTCGTCTATGCGTCCGTCTATCCGTCCGTCTATCCGTCCATCTATCTATCAGTCCGTCTATCCGTCCGTCTATCCGTCCGTCTAGATGTCCGTCTATCCATCCGTCTATCCATCCGTCTATATGTCCGTCTATCTATCCGTCCGTCTATCTGTCCGAGAACTGCACTTCAAACCAAACAGAATGTCCTAATTGTCACGGGCCGCATGCCGCGTACTCGCGCACATGTCAAGCATTCAAGAAAGAAAAGGCTGTAATTCACATCAAGGTTACAGAAAATATCACATTCCCGGAAGCCCGGAAGAAGGTATCTCTTTTTTCCCGGAAGATCGTACGCTGACGCAGCTCGTCGGGGAGCCGGGCGGCGTCTAGTGACGGTGGGCACGCAATACAGCTTTGCTGATGCGTGCACATCTCTGCCCCCCACCAAGCAGCCACCGGCTGCACCAGCTTTTCACGTCCCGGAGGTCGAACTTCATCAGATCCCAGAGACAACACAGACAACTGAGACACCTGTCTCTTCTGACAAACCTCCATTAGCTTCCGAGGGTCCACCGGAGGCAATGGAAGTGACACCAGGATTCTGAGCGTTTAGGATGCTGACGGAATCCGCCCAAGTGAGGCGGGGCTCCATAGATCGCCTCAGAGGGAAGAGACACCCTCCAGTGAAGCCACCTGATAAAGGCAGCGAAGTGTGAATAAGTCGCGCTCCTTTTCCTCATCCATGAAAATGGCTGCCGAAAGTATCATCCACTGGAATTGCTGAGGCTTACTTAAGAACTTAGACGACATCTATGAAATACTTGCACAACACCAACCAAGCAAACTTTGCTTACAGGAAACACACCTAAAACCAACACACACTACCCTTTTTTTAAAAAAAAAAGGCCCCGCCGTGGTGGTCTAGTGGATAAGGTACTCGGCTGCTGACCCGCAGGTCGCGGGTTCGAATCCCGGCTGCGGCGGCTGCATTTTCGATGGAGGCGGAAATGTTGTAGGCCCGTGTGCTCAGATTTGGGTGCACGTTAATGAACCCCAGGTGGTCTAAATTTCCGGAGCTCTCCACTACGGCGTCTCTCATAATCATATGGTGGTTTTGGGACGTTAAACCCCACAAATCAATCAATCAATCCCTTTTAAAAAGATATGTGGTATACCGAAAGGACAGACAGGGCACTGCCCATTCATCTGGTGGTGTCGCTATCGTGGTGCAGAAAGCAGTTCCGTCTCAAAGCCTCACTCTGGTTACTGACTTAGAAGCAGTGGCAATACGAGCCCTAATTTTTTGGACGAATAACAACCGTATGTTCATTATGGTGAGTGGACACGGCAGCACCGCCGTGACGATGTCGCCTTACGTGCCTCTACTTGTGCAGGTTTTGGCGTGGTTCTTCGCGGACGCAGCAGCGGCCCATGTTATCGCTGGACAACACTACCAATGGACCCCGATGAAGAATGCGCACCAGCCCTCGAAGGAACTCAACCACTGCGCAACTAGATCACTGCCAGTGGCGTCAACGATGCTGTGCCACGTGGACTTCGTCGACTGCGCACCCCCGTGGAGCACGTTGACGTCCTCCGCCTCCCCGATAGCAAGCTGCCCGGAGCATATAAAAGCAAGGGCCATGGTCTTGACCTTCAGTGGACACGGCAGCACTGCCGTGACGATGTCGCCTTACGTGCCTCTACTTGTGCAGGTTGGTGATCGAAAGTATGGTTTTCGTAGTAACTGTACCTGCCTGATTGTGCTGCCGAGTCCACACACTGTTCTTGGTTGCTTAAACGACTGTGTTTCAGTTGTAAGCCTGTTACTGAAGTTGTCCGGTGACGTGGAGGAAAATCCTGGGCCCGAGGTTGAAAAAATGCTGGAGGAAATATTAAGTAACCAGAGTAAACTACTAGCTAAAGTTAATGAAATTCAGGCCAAGCAGTCATCTACGGATGCCAGCATTTTCGACATGCATGTTAGGCTCCAGACTATTGAAAAACAACTTGAAGGGTTGGGTGAAACACAGAACCGGCTTACTATGATAGAATCAAGTGTTGGTCGCCATGACAGTGAATTGACGGCTCTTGCCAGGCAGATCGATGACTTAAATAATCGTTCTAGACGCAACAACCTTATTGTACGCGGAGTGGAAGAAGAAAAATCTGAGGATGAGGCAGTACTCTTAAGTAAGGTGAATGACGATATCTTTGACAAATTACTTGGCTCAAAGTGTAGCTCCATTGAGAGAATTCACCGTCTAGGAAAGAAAATACCTGAAAGAAGCCGTCCGGTCATCTTGAAAGTAGGAGACTTCAGGGACAAAACCAAAATACTGAAAAACTGCCGCAACCTCAAGGGGACACAATTCAGTATCAGCGAAGATTACTCTAAACGAGTAGTTGAAATCAGAAAACAACTATGGATTTCATCAGCGGATGAAAGAGCAAAGGGAGCAAAGGTTAAACTAATCATCGATAAACTGAAAGTAAACAACGTTCTCTATGGCTGGAATGAGGCTACCAAAGAGCGATTCAGGTATGCTAGCCCAGGTTTCACCAGCTCTGACTGACGCAAATCGAGACCAACAGCATCTGTTAAGGTTATTAATGTAAACGCCAGAAGTTTGCTGAATAAAGCTGATGCAGTTGAAGCCGCAATCCTGGAGCATGAACCGGATATAATGGTCGTAACAGAGACTTGGTTACATACGGATGTAGCAGATTTCGAAGTAACACCTACAGGTTACATAATTGTTAGAAAAGACCGGCAAAGAAGAGGTGGTGGTGTTGCGTTTCTTATTAAAGACAACATTAGGTTTTCAGTGTTGGATGATAATTGTGATATAGAAATGTTGTGGATTAGGTGTGGGTTCAGCGAGCGAACTGTGTATATTAGAGGGATTTATAGAGCGCCGAATTCCTCCCTGGATATAATCGCAAAGCTAAGAAATATTATGGATTCTAATTTTAGCCTCCAAGATAACGTATTATTATTAGGGGACTTCAATCTTCCGGATATTAATTGGCTATCCCAGCCTCCTGGATCGGAACAGGTAGCAAGTGCTGAGCAACTACTGGAGTTGGCATTCCGCTACGGGCTAACGCAAAGTGTCACTGAATTTACTCGGATAGGGACTACAAGGTGATCTATCCTTGACTTGGTTTTTGTGTCCCCAAAGCTGTTGCCGTTACTCAGCCGTTGTGAAGTTGTAGAAGGCCTGTCCGACCACAGAATGGTAGTAACGCACCTAGCTTTGTCCCCAGACACCTTGGGTAAACCCACACTTAGCACTGTATTGAATTTTATGGCGGCTGATGATGTGTCTATTTTGGACTATCTTGAAAGGTCCTTTGATGAATTTCAGGTCCTTTACAACACTGACTGCAGCACTGATAGGCTATGGCATTTCTTTTCAATTGTTGTAGGGAAGTGCATAGACAGCTATGTACCCAGGATTAGAAAACGCATTTGTAAATCCAATTCCTGGATTACCAGAGAAATCATTCACACAAAAAGAAAACTAAAACGGAAACAAAAATCTTGTGCAAAAAATTGTACCCCTGAAGGAACAGCTTGCACTTCTTCAATGAAACAAGAACTGAAACGTCTGATCAAACAATCCAGGGATCGGTTTTTCAATGTGACATTGACAAAATACTTTAAGGAAGCCCCCTCAAGGTTTTGGCGCTTTATAACTACCCTAGCAAGCTCCCCGAGGCCACCTGAAATTACTCAACAACGTGTTGATGATTTCAATTCTTTTTTTGCATCTGTGTTTACTCATGATAATGGCATCTTGCCCGAATTTTCTACGTCATCATTGCAGTGGCCGATCGATGATGTGGTAATTAGCGAAGAGGGTGTCCTAAATATTTTACTTAATATAAATACAAGAAAAATCCCCGGCCCTGATGGTATACCAAACGAATTTCTGTACAGATACGCTGAATG